GGGGGGGGGGGCGGAGGGGAATTCCAACGATTTCGAAGTAGTTTCGAGGCCTGGACAAAGGGAAAAATTGACGAGTTATTTAATCTAATATCGCGCGCTCGATCGGAATTTCGTACGACGCTGACGCGTAAACGTTATTTCTCCCATTCTCCCCTCCCTGCCTCCCTGCCCCTTTTATCGCTTTCCGCCGCTCTCTCGTTCGCAATTATGCGCCACCTTCGCAAAGAGGAGCGTCCAGTGATTATCGCGCGCCAATTTTCGCGGCGGATAATGTTCGTTACGTTAAAAGAATTCCTCTCGAAGTTTTTTTTTAAAATTTCCCCCGCTACGAAATTTCGCATTCTCGAAACGTGAACAAAATTTAACGAATAATTTCCCGCTTAGAAAATTTTCAAATTATCTCCCCGGATCCCCGGAGGGTTTAAATTAAATTAATCAGAAATTTATATTTCCGGAAGGGAGGAATATAATTTTCGAGAAATTGACTTTTCGTTCTCGAAAATGGCGACGGGAAATTTTGGTCGGTTGGAGGGAGAAAGGGAAAGAAACGACGAGACATGATACGGTTCGGATTCGAAACAAGGCGTAATATATACAACGTATCACTCACTCGAGAAAAACACGAAAAAAAAAAAAAAAAAAAANGAACCAACTACACCGACACTAAAGAAAGAAAGAAAGAAAAAAAAAAAGAAAAAAATTCTCTTTTCCAAGGAAAATGCATCTCTCTTGACACTCTTGCATCGTCTCACATGTATACACAGATTATATATATAATTTATATATATATATATATATATATATACGTGTATGCCCGAACCCCCCCCCCCCCTTTATGCCCTTTTTTTGCCCTTTAGTGAGATGTTTATGAGCTGTAGTACTGTCAGATTATTCGTGGTATGCAAGCGAATCCCCAACCCCGCCCCGCCCCCCCCCCTTTTTTTCTCTCCACTTGACTTGTTGTACGTGTTTTTACTTCTTATACATATACATATATTATATATATATACCCTTGACAATCTATCTTTTCATTTTTTTAATTGTAATATGTATTATTAAGTAACGTATCCATGTAATATCGCATATTATATAGTATCGAGATTATTATTATTATTATTGTTATTGTTATTATTTTTGTTTTGGCTGAGAAAATGTACTTTGCAAAAAAAAAAAAAAAAAATGCAAGTAATTTTTGCTCGATGAAACAACAAAAAAAAAAAAAAAAGAAACATTAGGGTAAAGAGAATTACAATCAAAAAAAGAAAGCAAAAAAGATATCCAAGAAACACGCATAAAAAAAAGAAAAAAGAATGCATTGCACACACAGTCAGAGTACAAGATACATATATATATATATTTATACGACGACCCGTATATATAGACAAAGACAGAATAAAGAAAAAAAAACGGGTCGTCCTGTTGAAACTAGTACACCATTGATTCACATTTGTCTTCTTTTTTTTCTGCTTTCAGCTGCACAGATTCCACAACGCGGAGGTAAGTACAAGATCAAATCGAACAACGTTCTCCATCTCCGTTTTATTCCGTCTTAATTGGGCCGATCAATTACACGCGCGCCACCTGTGCGCGCGTACGGGGAAACACGAGGAAGAAACGTCTCTTTCTTTTCTTTTCGCTTCGATTCGCATCTTCCCTCTTCCCTCCCCCCCCCTCCCCTTTCCTGCTTCTCTCGACAGCAGTAGTACCCTTTGAAAGGGTACTAAAATCTTACGGAAACGTAAATGGCTGCTTCACCAGGAAGAGGATCAACCTCGAACACCGGCCGATTCGTAAATCCTCTCCCCTCCTACCCTTTTTCTTCACACGGCATCCCTTTTTCATCCGTTAATTAGCGATTAATTTTGGCGTCGAGAAGTGAAGACTTTCCTAGAAGATTCGATTTTTTTCTTTTATTGCAATTTATTTGTTTATATATTTGAAAATCATTTCCTTTTTTTTTCTTCTAATCAATCGAAATTATTTTGATCGTTGGAGGAAGGAATTTTAATTTAAAAATTTTCGCGATTCTAATGACGATAAGATCCAGATGGAATGATCCCGTGCGAATTTTTGCAGCATGCAAGAGGAAAGACGAGATGGCGAACCAGGCAGAACACCAACAGCCCGCCCCCAAGAAACCGCGCCTGGTTTTCACAGACCTTCAGCGCCGTACTCTACAGGCTATTTTTAAAGTAAGTCTTGTATAACTTAACTTGCGTTTTGATCGATACCGCCGCCGCCGCCGCCGCCGCCTCGTTCTAACGTGTCTCGATTGTCCCGGGTATGCTCAAATCGTGCACCTTCTCTATAGAATTTTATATCTCCCCCCCTCCTATATCTTAAATCTCTTTTCCCTCCTCCTTTCTCTAATAATAAAAATTTCTCTAATAATTTATGTATAAATTATACGTATGATATATAATTTATTAATAATTATATTAATATATATTAATTCATATAGATCGAAAATTTAGTATCCAACGTTGTAAGGATATTTTCGATTTTCTAGAAATTTTAAAAGCACCCGTATATCCTTCTTAGAGGATAGGAAAGTTCTTCTTCTTCTTACGTTTCTATAAGGGAGTTTCCCTTCCTTCAGACCGGGTTGTTAAAAATCAAATATTTCGCGGCGATTTTCTTCCCATCGAGAGAATAGATTTCGTCGATTATCGGTGTTTTCCGAGCGTTTCTCCGAGTAAATGTATATCCATAAGTGTCAAAAACCCATCGAATGCGCATGCGCGAGAAAAAATTCGTCAACTACGTACGAGCGAGCGAATTGGCGGCAACGCTCTTTTAATGGAGGGGACTCAATCGGAATGACAACGCTGGTAAATTACGATGGATGGACACCGTGTAACCGTGGTGCCGCATTCCATCGGATCGCGATAAAAGGGGAGTCGAGTGGTTTCATCTTGAAACGGCCCTTCCATTCGCTTGGGAAGGCAGAATTTCGATCGTTTCGATATATATATATATATACACGAGTATGAGTTAAAAGAAAATCGTAGAAAAATTATATTAATGAATAAAATTTCTCGAGTTTGAAAATTTTCTTAATAGATTGATTTTGATCGAGGAGTATTCGAAGGCAGGTTTATGTATATAAATATTATCGAGAAGAGATCGAATTTGGTCGGTATTAACGTCTGCCGAGTATAATCCATGTATTATATTATAAACGGAATAGGGCGGAATGTGAATGAGACCGTGACGCGATCATGGAGTATTTTAGTTTACGATTAACCCTTTGCAAACGATGAACCCATATATGCGTTCAGTGTAAGTTATCCGCATAACCGATCGACTCACGTATGCGTTAGGCGAAAACAATCGAGAGAGAGAGAGAGAGAGAGAGAAAGAGAGAAGCGATGCCCTCGCTATTATGGGTTCGGTTCATGCCTTCAACCGACGATACTTTTTTTTTCCACGATGAAAAAAAAAAAAAAAAAAAAAAGAAGAAAAGGAGGAAAATAAGAAGGAAAAAAAAGAAAGAAAGAAAGAAATGAAATAAATGTTTCGATTCGACGGATAAGTGCGTCGCTAGCGAAGAGTTATATGCCCGCTATAACGTAACAAACTTTATTCTCACGCGTTTCAACAAAATGTGCGTCCGTTGTTCAACGGTAACAATTCACAGTTTGCTTCACCCGACTCCGTATAATAGTCCGTTTAAAAATACGAAATCATTCCTACGCGCTGTATCTTCTTTCAATCGGTCAAGTAGGGATCGATCGATATTTTATTACCTTCTCGAAAATTTAATGCATTCTGTTCGAATTATCCGATTTCCAGCGAAATCAGATGAAAATAATCGAAGAGAGAAGGAGAACAGAATTTCGATTTTTTTTCCTTTTTTCTTCTCGAAATCATTCCTTGGAAAATAGTATAGATTTCTTTTTTCTGGAAAATTTCCTTTTTCTCTCTCTCTCGAAATACACTCAATATCAACGAAAATATTAATTAAGATCGAAATCATCTCTTCGAAACTATCCTATTGAAAAATAATTTAGAATCTCTATCTGGAACGCTTCCTTTTCTCTCTCTCTCTCTCTCTCTTTCTCTCTCGAGCTACGCTTTGTCTCTCGAAATATTATATATTTAATCGAAAATATTAATTAAGATTCGAAAAGTATATTTACTTTTTTTCTCCCTTTCTAAAAATTCCTATCTAAAACACTTTCGAATAATTCCTTTTCTCTTTCTCCTCCTCGTTTACACTTTGTTTCTCGAAATATATTAACTCGATTCCCTCTCTCTCTCTCTCTCTCTCTCTCTCTCTCTCTCTCTCTCTCTCTCTCTCTCTCTCTCTCTCTCGAGTCGAACAACGTTCTTAGAGGGCGTGCATTGATAAAGGGAGGCTGATTTCTCGCGTGCACGCGGAGAAAAACGCGGGAGAAGGGGGAGGGGAGAGGGGCAGCGGGACGACGCTGGGAGGACGACGAGGCTTTTCAGCCGTGTCAGCCGCGTAAAACTCGCCTCGATCGATCCGCGTTGAATTATTTCGCGGCCGATTCCTTGGCCGCGCGCCATTCGATCTGAGCGGAACGATCACTCGCCATTCCCGAAACTTGCATTTCCATCCCGTTTCTACGAAACTTTTCGAAAAAATTTTTCCAATGTATCTCTCATATTGCACTTACCAAAAAATCTAGGATGTCTATTATTAATATATATTGATTAAAAAAAAAGAAAAATAAAAACTCAATATTTCCCCCATTCTTCGATCTTCGAAAATCGAGAGAATCGATTCGTTCCTGCTACGAAAGAAGAAAGGGAAAAAAAGAAACGCGAAGATTTCAAGTTTTTATTTCCTCCCTAATAATATAATAGTCGACAGTTTTATATTTTATCCGTGTCTCGTCGTTGGTGGAGGAGCTGCTAGAGGAAAGGAGAAGTCTGTGATGACGGCGCGGAATTCGCGGCTGCTCACTCGAAACCGTCGATATCGCGGCCATTCGACTCCATTCGCAGTGTAACATTCTACAATCCTCGAAAGGCACGCCTGGTAACAAGTTTCGAGTTTGTTTGCAGTTTGTTGAGAAATTGAGCGTCGACCGAACCGAGTTTTTCCTTTTCCCCCCTCTTTGCTTTCCTTTTTTTCTCTTTTCTGAAATTTCGGCTCTGCCCTTTTACGGCCCCCTCCCTTCTCCAGAATCAAGCTAATCGAGGAAATCGCTCCTACTTTGCGGCCCGCGTTTCGCTTTTCGACTCGCGGATTACTATCGAAATTGAGCGCCCGGATTAAGTTTGGATTTTAATCAAACGAGCTTTACATTAGGCTTGATTAGGATTTGATCAAGGCTCGCACCGTTTCTACATTAATATAATTCTAATCTATCGTTTTATTCGATATCCGTGGAGGGGTGAATTAGTAAATGAGATTCTATCGCTCGATGGATTTAAATTTGATCGTAACTCTTATATATATATATATATATATATATATATATATATTTTAGATCCAATAACGAATATTTCCACTTCCTCTCACTTCCATTCGGTTCAATAATTCGAAGACATATCGAAATCAGGATATTTCGAAAAAGTCGAGTTAAGTTCAAGAGGAATAGAATGAATAATGAAGAAAAATCTACTAATTTTTTTCCAGAGAGAATTCGAAATTCTGGGGAGGGGGTTAATTTCGAGAGGCAGGTATGAAAATGATTCTGCGTTCCGGGAAAAGGGGAAAGCGGTTGTTCCCACTCTTTGGAACTATGCCAAATAGTTGGCGAATTGACCTTAGCCCAGTTAAACTGCAACGAATCTTTCTCCGATTCTATTTCCCTTCTCCCCGATTATACGACTTTTAAACTCCCCTCCCCAATCAGCCACGCGTGCTCGACACGACCATCTCTCACCCTTCGAACTTTTCGAAACACGCGGTTTTCTCCACTCGACACATCCCCCCCCCCTCTCCTGAATAATTAAAAGAAATCGGGTATCATTTTCATTGTTTTTTTTCAAAATCGTCAAAAACGAATAATCGAATAATTTATTCGAGGAATAAATTCGAATTTATTTAAGTATGGGGAAGAAAGGGTGAGAGGGAAAATAATTTCAGACAGTTTTGTTTTTCGAGACCCACCCTTCGCCTATCCATGACACGTATGATGCAACCCCCTCTCTCGGTTTCTCAGGCTCGTACACTGGGGCTGTCAAGGAATAATCACGATCCTCGCGCCGATAGTGTCCCGTATTTCCAACAATTGATACGCCCCTCCCTCTCTAGACGTAGACGTAGAGACCTTCGTTTCGTTGCGTTACACGCGGTGAATTACACCCAGGACAGGATATCGATACGGTTCCTTAAACGTCTACCCTGTTCCCAAGTTGTGTGAATGCAAGTAATTCCATTCCAGATCTTCGCTTTGCAGTTATAAAAAATTTTTAAAGTCTAAATATCTCTCTTAAGAAGAGACAGAAGAAGAGGATTATTGAAAAAAAAAAAATTGAATTTCGAGGATAAAAGGATTTTCAGATCGATTCAAAATCGATCAACATTTTCCAATTCTAATAAGAATATTAAGATTGTAATTTCCCTTTGACCGAACGATTTTTTCGCGTGAATTATCGTATTCGAGTAATTCTATCAATCTTCATTTTAGTTTATCAAAAGTTTCGAATTTTAATATCTCTTTTAGCCAGAGAGACAAAAGAAAAGGATTTTCAAATATTTAAGACGTAATTCCCCTTGGAACGATCTTCTTCGTTGAATTTATCGTATTCACGCCTGTTCTCGCGATTTCTCGTTTCGATCCGCGAGAAGAAATCGTAATTTTATTTAAAACCGATGCCCGTTTCCCGCGTTAAACGCGTTAATTAACGCGTTCGTGGTGCACGCGCATCACGGTTTGTAATAATTGTTCCTTCGAGCAATCGATACCTTCTCCCTCTCTCTCTCTACTCTCGCTCACTCGCTCTCTATATAGCTGCTCCGTCCGTGTTATTGATCGACCTACGTCGAGTAAGAAACGTCGCGTGGGAAGAAAGCGTGCCAGGCCAGCGTTTACCACATGCACGACAAATGTTTACACACGTTGCTACGTTCGTACGAACCCGCGGTTTTCTTCTCCTCCTTCTCCTTCTCGCGGCTCGTAGAGAAGGTAGTAGGACAAAGTGGATACCAAAAAAATCCTTTTTCCCTCGTTCTTTTCTTGTATTCAGAAGAATAAGAATAACTTGGAATTCCTTTGGATCTTTTCTTCCAATATTTTTTTTAACGAAATTCATTTATATATATATATATTAGATTATATGGAAAGTAATTTCATTTTTTCACACAAGTGTCGCTAGTCGAACATTTATATATATAGATATATATAGATATTGGGTTGTACGGTAAGTAATTTCGTTTTTTCGCACGAGTGTCGCTAGTCGAACGTTTTATCCAGCCAACTTCATTCTAAACCGTGTTGTTATTATATACTTCGAGAGTTGGCATTTCATGGTGGTTTGTTTATAAGAAAAATTCGTTCGATTCTGTTGTGTTTTTCGTGCGTGATAACACAAGATGAAAGACAAGAAGTTGTATTTTCGACATATTTTATCTTTTTTGTAAAAGGTAAGAATGTTGTTCAGGCGAGTTTCGTTCCGACAATTTCGTTCGAATTGAAATTGACGAAGACGAAATAAAGGCACCGATCGAATAACGGACTCGAGAAACCGCTACGAGATCGAATTCGACTGTTCACAAATTACTTTCCGAACAACCCATTAAAATATCGATGCAATATTGTATCCTTCAAGAAAAATAGTGATATTCTTCGCGGAGAATAGTAGTGGTATCCACTGTTATTATTAATTATAAACACGAGAGATGCGTTTATGGGATTAATTAGGCAAGTGAAAATACGCGTGTTGCTTAATAAATCGAAACGTGTGTGAAAAAGTAAATTGAGATACAACTCGATGCAACAAGGACGGATAGAAATAGAAGAATTGTAGGTTGAGTTGGGAGGATGAATATTTATTTAGCGGAGGAAGAAGTCAAAGAGAAGAGGGAAGTAGTGGGCGCACAAAGGTTTCCGTTCGATGCGTTTCTTCGAAAGGCGAAGAGGGCGTAATTTACGCTCGAGTTTTCCTTTTCTCTTCTTTTCCCCCATTGATATTTATTTATCGGATTCAATTTTTTCCTTTTTCTTTTTCTTTTTTCGAAGAAAGAGTCGAGGATCCTTTTCAAGTTAATACAACTTAAAGGATCGAATGGGGACGGTTATGTGGGCGGTTATGGAGTGGCGGAGAGGTTTATTATAGTTTCGTCAGAGAAGGCGAGGGGGGAGGGAGCTCTGGAGACCCCGAAAGGCTACCTTAAACCCTTGGCAAATCTCAGAAGCTAGCATGAATATTCATCGATCCAGGAACTCTGCTCTGCAAACAAAGTGCTTTAAATTCTAATTCGGTAATAGGTTGCTCGAAATTCCTCGGCCCCCTTAAAACGCGCCTTTTAAAATATTCACTGTCTATGATAAATTCCTTACCATATATATATATATATATATATATATATCTAATAGCTTAATAGGTGAAAATAATATTCGAATATTTGTTACTCGAGCAATTTCAAGCGATCTTAAAGTTTTCCTTGCACACAATTCAAGAAGAAAACCTAGATTACACCTACATTCCAATTTCCTCACCTTCTCTCAATCCCCAAAACTCTACTACACCTCTTTACACGTCTCGTTTCATCCCCGCGTCGCGATCCCAAAATATTTCGATAAAAATCCGTTTCGCTTTGTTGACCGACCATCTTCCGACCGATTTTTCCAGGAGACGAAGAGGCCGTCGAAAGAGATGCAGGTGACAATCGCTAGGCAGCTGGGCCTGGAGCCGACCACGGTCGGCAACTTCTTCATGAACGCTCGACGCCGCTCCATGGACAAGTGGAAGGACGAGGATCCGAAGACCGTCGCGGTCGAGGAGGGGCAGCTATCGCCCACGATAGGTATCGGGCAACGGCAACCAAGCGACGTTTTGTGACACACGTCCGACCACGAGGAGTACCACGACGAGTCGCCCGAGGAAGACCTCCCCTTCTCGTAAGGGGGTCGCGGATTTCGCGCGCGACGCGGCGATTATCACCACTCGAGACGCTCGACTGCTGACCTGGAACGTCAGTTTTCGGCCATATTCCCAGTTTCCACTCGTCGCCCCCCGTCGTCGTGGGATCGTGGGCGCGCGGGGCCCCTCCCCCTCCCCCTCCCCCCCAAAAAATAAACAGACAGAGAGAGAGAGAAAAAGAAACGGAGAAAGGGCAAACGTCGACGTAGCGGGGATTTTACATATAAATATATATATATATATATATACACATACATATTCGAATTTTTCTCCCCTCAAAGGGGGCCTAGCTGCCTAGAATAATGATTCGTTCGTGTGTGTCTATAATATATGTATATATATATATACATATTCGTGGATAGAGAATTTTGAGGGGGAGGGGGGAGACGGATATCGTCGCAACAACACGCTAGGTTTCACCCCTTCGCGGTTGTCGTCCTGTTTAGCGGGGGGAGGGGAGGGGAGGGGAGGGGTTAGGAAAGGAAGATAATAGTTTGCAAATGATTTTTCGAGATCTATTTATTTATTTTCGTTCTAATTCGCTTCCTTTCATCGGTGTTAACTAAGTTTTGTTTTGTTTTTTTTTTTTTTTTTTTTTTTACTTTCACGCGTCAATTTCACTATTTCTATTATATACACGTATATACATATATCTGAATCGATTTTTATTTCTCGTTTCGATCTGTTATCTTTCGATTTCGCTTCGTGAGCGATAATAATAATTTAAAAATATTTTCACGTGTTATTGTAGAAGAAAGAAAGAAAGAAAGAAAGAAAGAAAGAAAGAAAGGAAAAGAGAAATCGGTGTGCCTGAACGATAAAGATTCGTAAAATTGTATTTCGTGACGAAAGATTCGGGATGAACTGTGACGAAAGGGGCCGCGAGGGGAAAAAAAAGTCGCGGAGCTCGACTGAATTTTCTTCTCGACTCACGTGT